GGGTCTAGGCCCGAAACGTCAGCCTTCCTGCTCCTCTGATGCTGCTTGGCCTGCTGTGTTCATCCAGCTCTACACCTTGTTATCTCAGATTCTGCAGCATCTGCAGTTCCTACTACCCCTTCCACATGGTAGGCAGGTTAGTAAGGTTAGATTACATAGGATCCAGGGTGGGCTAGCCAATTGGATAGAAAATTAGCTTGAAGGTAGCAGTCAGAGAGTGATGATGCCCCTCCCAAAGACCACGCAGCCAGGGTAGTAAAATGGGCAAAACAAAACAGGACCAATTCCTCATGGTGACCATAAACACCCAACTTGCTCACTACTGTCCTCTAGGGGAGGAACCTGCTGTTCTGACCTGGTCTGTGATTCCAGACCCACAGCAATGTGGTTGACTCTGGGCAAAAAAACGTTGGCCTGGCCAGCGACTCCCTCCTCCTGTGAATGAATGAATGAAAGCGTTACGCTTGAATAGGTAGAAGAGGAGGGAAAGGGGCCAAGGACTGGCAGTATTGGTTGAGGATGGCATTGCAGTGCCGGAGAAAGAGGAGGTTTTGGATGGTTCAAGGACACAATCGATTAGGTTGGAGCTAGGGAAGAAGCTCATGGAATAACAGGGACAGTAGCAATATGGATACAAAATTGGCTGAGTGATAGGAAGCAAACAGTAATGGTCAATGGATATTTTTCAGGCCAGGGGGAAATTCCTAGTGGAGTTTCCCAGAGGTCAATATTGGGACCCTTGCTTTTCTTGATCTATATTAGCGACCTGGATCTTAGTGTGCAGGGGCAATTTCAAAATGTGCAGATGACATAAAACTTGGATGAATTATAGACTGTGAGGAGGACAGTGTGGAACTCCTAAAGGACATTAACATAAATTGGTGGATTGGGCAGATAAGAGCAGATGAGGTTCAATGCAGAGAGGTATGAAGCGATGCATTTTGGTTGGAAGAACACTGAAGGACAACATAAAATTGAGGGTACAATTCTAAAGGGGCTGTAGGAACAGAGGGAGCTGGGTATATATGTGCACAGATCACTGAAGGTGGCAGAACAGGGGGAGAGATCAATTAGTAAAGCATAGTGTTCTCAGCTTTATTAACAGGGACAGAGGGTACAAGAGCAATAGGGTGATGTTGAACTTGAATAAAATATTTGTGAGACTCACCTGGAATATTGTATATGCTTCTGGGTACTACATTATAGGAAACATTTGAACACATTGGAGAGAGCTGTAGTTTACGAGAATGGTTTCAGGAATGAGAAACTCCAGTTGTGAGGGGAGGTCGAAGAAGTTGGGCAGTTCTTCTTGGAGAGAAGAAAGCTGGGAGGGGATTTGATAGAGATTTACAAAGTTATTAGAAGTCTAGATAGGGAGAAACTATTCCCATTCATAAAAGGAAGAAGAACCAGAGGAAACAGATTTAAATTGATTTGCAAAAGAAGCAAACGCAGTATGATAAAGAAGCATCTTCACACAGCCAATAGGCAGCGTATGGAATACACTGCCTGGGAGCATGGTGGAGGCAGGTTCGATTGAGGGCTACGAGTGGGTATTGGATGATGATTTGGACAGAAATAATGTTCAAGGGGCAAAGCTGGAGATTAACACTACATAATGATGCTAGTTTGAAGATCTGGAGCAGACATGATGGGCTGAATGGCCTCCTACTGTACTGTAGCACCACTGTGATTGTGCATGCACTGTAGTGCCTGTTAGTAACACCCACAGTGATGCATCGACCTCCAGACTTCAGCCCGCTCTTAATCCATCAACCAATATTGGTGAGAGGTATCAGGATATTCAACTGTAAAGACCTTCACAGTAATCTTGACACAAAAGGCTCCACCGTTTCACTGAACTGTTGTCTTTGCTGTGTGCATATCTCAGTAGGTGTCAGTGGATGCCCATCACTGTATGACAGTCACTAATCAATTCAACAGGGAACCCATAGAACCTCCAGAGGGAGATGAAAATAAGGGACTCACAGAATCCCTACAGTATGGAAGTAGGCCGTTCAGCCCATCGAGTCCACAACAACTCCCGCCCAACCAATCCCTGCATTTCCCATGACTAACCCACCTAAACTGCACATCCCTGGAGCAAGTTAGCATGGCCAATCCACCTAACCTGCACACGTTTGTACTGTGGGAGGAAACCGGATGAAACCCACGCAGACACGGGAAGGATGTGCCTGAGGGGGGCATCAAACCGGGGTCCCTGCTGCCCTCACTCACTGCTGAATAACATAGGCACTTTAGAGGAGTAGCTGGATAAAGATATGAGGGAGAAAAACATGGAAACATATATTGATAGGGTGAGGTGAAGAGGGGAGGGAGCTTGAGTGTAGCGTAAATGTCCAATTGGTTTGAATGGTCAGCTACTGTGTTGGTAAATTCTTGGTAAATCTCTTCCTGCCCTGAGCCCAGCAAGTGATGAATAGGATTCTCACCCACGCCATAACAAGTTTTGACCAGCGAAAGTAATCTAGTGCAAAAGTTAACCTGATCCATCAGACCATCGTTGTAGAGACCCTTATGAAAATTAGATAAGGAATATTATACATTTTCATAGAACCACGGAACTTGGTACATCATGCCTAAACTGGAATTCTCTAGGCAATGGTTAGCACTGCTGCCTCACAGCACCAGGAACCCTAGTTCAATTCCAGCCTTGGGCGACTGTCTGTGTGGAGTTTGCACATTCTCCCCGTGTCTGCGTGGGTTTCCTCCGGGTGCTCCGGTTTCCTCCCACAGCCCAAAGATAAGCAGGCTAGTTGGGTTGGCCATGGGAACTGTGCAGTTAGGGCAATGGGGTAGGTTTGGGTAGGATGCTTTTCGGAGGGCTAGTGCAGACGTGATGGGCTGAATGGCCTCTGTCTGTACTGTAGGGAGATGATGACATGGTGGTAATGCCACTGGGCTAGTTCGCTTGAGACAAAAACACAAATTGTAGTGGAAATTCACCAACCTGTGGAGAGAGCAAACCGAGTGAATTTTTTGAGTCTAGTGACCCTTCTTCAGAAGTGATGGGAGCTGCAGAGAGGTGGGATATATGTTGAAGACAGGGCAGGGTCACTGGAACTGAAACATTAACTCTGCTTTCGCTCCACAGTTGTTGCCAGACCTGCTGAGTTGCTCCAGCGTTCTCTGCATTTGTTTCAAATGGGTTCAGATCCCACTAGGGTAACTGGTGGAGCTTAAGTCCTATTATTTTTGCTCCAGATGGCCATGGAAGCTCAGTGTTTGAGTTTGTTTAAGGTAAAGAATGATACATGTTCCAAGACTAATGATATGAAAGTGTGGGTAAAGCGTGGGTAAGAGGCAACAATGTGTTTGATCAGCCATGATCGTATTAAATGGGGACCTGGCTTGATGGGCTAAATGGCCTCTTCCTGTTCCTATGGATATGAAAGCTGGTCTCAGTGATAGTAGCCAAGTTATTGAAAGGGTAATGTTTTGGGGATATGGGTTAAAATCACACCATGGTAACTTGTGGAATTCAAATTCAATTAAGTCTAAAATATAACACTAGCCTCAAAGGATTATCACTGACCTTTGTAAAAACATATCTAGTTCCCTAACATCCTTAAGGGAAGGAAATCTGCCGTCCCTACCTAGCTTGGCCTTCCTGTAGCTTCTTGCAATGTGGTTAAGGATGGAATTCATTGCCACAGAGGGCTGTGGAGGCCAAGTCATTGAGTATATTTAAGAGAGAGATGGATAGGTTCTTGATCAAAGCCACAGAGTCATAGAACTGTACAGCACGGAAACAGACCCTTTGGTCCAACTCGTCCATGCTGACCAGATATTCTAAATTAAACCAGTCCCATTTACTAGAGTTTGGTCCATATCCCTCTAAACCTTTCCTATTCATACGCCCATCCAGATGCCTTTCAAATGTTGTATTTGTACCAACTCTAACCACTTCCTCTGGTAGCTCATTCCACACACGCACCATCCTCTGCATGAAAAAGTTGCCCCTTAGGACCCTTTAAATCTTTCCCCTCTCACCTTAAACCTATGTTCTCTAGTTTTGGACTCCCCTACCTTGGGAAGAAGACCTTGGCTATTCACCCTATCCACGCCCCTCATGATTTTAGAAACCAGCGAAAATAACCACAGTAAGGGGATTGAGGGATAAGGGGAGAAGGCAGGAGAATGGGGTTGAGAAACATGTCAGCCATGATTGAATGGATGAGCAGACAGAATTGGCCGAATGGCCTAAAATTCTGCCCCTATATCTTATGGTCTTGTAGTCTCAATGGCTGAGTCAAACACTTAGTTCAATGTCAATTAGGAAAACTGACCTTTCCTGCAATTCACACATCCCGTGGAAAAATATTTTATTAAATTCTTGGAGAGAGCTGGCCCAGGCAGGCTATGAGTCTAATCTCTATCTGAGTCTTAAATAGTCACAGCCTGGGGTGGAGAGGGATAGGGAGCTCACTTATTTCTGTTGGATCCTAACCCTTCACTATGCTGGATCCCTGGATTTCACTCCTTTGGTTTTTAATTAGCAAACCACGATTAAACTTTGGTTAAAAACATTTCTGACAGCGGCTTAGAGTGTTAATGTTGGTTAATACAGTAGGGTTTGTAACCAAGGTGAGGTTTCTTCTGATAGAGCCTGACAATCCTTTGCCTGTAGCTATTAGAATGAATTCTCCAGTGAGTTTTATCTTGCCAATCTATCTGTTGTTGGTTTTTTTTGCTCTCCGGGGCTGTAGGCTGTGAAGAATTACATGAGAACCGAATGCAAATGTCACGGACTCTCGGGTTCTTGCACCCTCAGGACGTGTTGGAAGAAAATGCCTAATCTTCGTGAAGTGGGCACCAGGCTCCTGGATCGCTTCAATGGCGCTTTCAAAGTGATGGGAGGCAACAACGGGAAGAGCCTCATCCCAGTCGGTCAGAACATCAAGCCCCCCGACAAGCACGACCTGGTGTATTCCGCCAACTCTCCCGATTTCTGCCTGCCCAACCGCAAGACTGGCTCGCCTGGCACCCGGGGCAGGACCTGCAACAGCACGGCGCTGGATGTGAGCGGTTGTGATCTGCTGTGCTGCGGGAGGGGTTACAGGGAGCAGACGGTGGTGGTGGAGGAGAACTGCCTGTGCCGCTTCCACTGGTGCTGCGTGGTCCAATGCAAGAAATGCACCACCCGCAGCCAGCTGAGCCTCTGCTTGTGACTGACCAGGCACTGTGGTTGGATGGGAGAGGAGCGATGCAATTGCTGAAAACTCCCATTGGCAACCTGCATTGAGAAGACATTAACCGTGAGCCTTAAACCCTGCTGAGCTTCTTCCCTGCCAGGTGGAGGCTGCAGGAAAGCAAGCCCCACGCTTCTATGACCTACTTTGTTACAACTTAGGCAAGACATGGAGGAAATCTCACGAAAGACACAGCCTGAGAACTCAAAGCTTGTTGCAATTAGACAACTGTGGCAATGAACAAACAACTTCATTTCAAACTGGTGCGGGCGACAGAGGTGTGGGTTTTAAATAAACGTGTTGGGGGGGTGGTGCATTATTCAAAAGGTGTGTGATGCACAAGAACCTTTTGAGAAAGTGGACCTCCTTGGCTTCCCACTGACTGAACAGCTTAAACATTAATCTGTGACCTGAAAAACAAGAGGAGAGGTGAAATCTTAAATAAGGCCGGATTGACAGAAATCGCAAGTGGTATGCATAGCACATACATTTGATAAGAAGCCCAAAACATTTGCATTTATTTCTTGTGTGCGTGTGAGAGTAGGTGTGTGCTTTTGAGTTTGTGTGTGTGTGTGTTTGTGTTTGTGTGTGTTTGTGTTTGTGTGTGTGTGTGTGTGTGTGTGTGTGTGTGCTTGTGTGAGTGTGTGTTTGTGTGTGCGTATGTGTTTGTATGTATGTCTGTGTGTGATTGTTCATGAGTGTGTGCACATGAGCGTGGGACAAGTGTTTGTTTGAGTTTATGCATGAGAATGTGCGGGGCTGTGTGTGTCAGAGTGAACATGTAATTGTGCCTCAGTGTGTATCATGTGCATATGCATTTGTGTCATGCTTTTGTGTGTGTGTGTGTGTGTGTGTCATTTATCTATGTGATTTTTGTGCATAAGTGCACCATGTATGTGTGCATGGTTGTGACTGCATGGGTGTGTACACTGTTCTTGTCTGTCACACGTGTCAGCAAGTATGTGCACAAGTGTACCTGTGTGTATGGATCATGTGTTTGCACGTGCGTCATGTATTTGTCATGTGGTTGCGTATGTATGCATCATGTATTTGTGTTTGTATCACATGTGCAAACCTGGTTGGAATGTCTACGTGTGTGAAGATGCATGTGTCATGTTTTTGGCTATGCTGTATGTGTTTCATGTGTTCGTGGGTCAGAGGTAAGAGAAAGGGTGGAGTTGCTGATAGGAATTGCCTGTGACAGCCTGCAAATGAAGTTGATAAGGACATATTTTCCTTTGAAAAGAAAGTTTCTGAGATGCTTCTGTTTTACCAAGTCAAATTGTAGTTACAGACAGAAATCTGTATCCCATCCATGCCAATTTTCCAACTGCATCTTAATTCCAGATCAATTCCTTTTTCTTCCCATGCCTGTAGTTTCTCTCTGTAATATGTTCTATGTACAACATGTCATTAAATACATGAGGTTCTATTTAAGGAGAAAGAATTCTTCCTGAACAATCTGCTAATTCAGACCAGACAAGATATGTGCGTTTCCAGTTCTCCCCAGATAATTTTGCAAAACATTTTTTAAGGAAAAGCTATACAATTTGTAAGGCTGGGACATTTTAAACTTTATCTGTGTGGAATTGTGTGAAAATTTGGATTCACTCCTGCATGTTCATTGTCAATACTGAGAAAGTGCGTGTGTGGGAGTGCAATGCCTTAGTGGTATAGTCAATGGACAAATAGTCCAGATGCCCAGGAAATATCCCAAGGATCTGGGTAGGTTCAAATCCAACCACAACTGGATGATGGAATTTGATTTCAACAAAATTTGGCATTAAATGATCACAAAACCATTTGGAGAAAGAAATTCTGCCATTTTTACCTCGTCTGATCTATATGGGACTCCAGATAGCAATGTGGTTGATTTTGAAATGACCGAGCAAGCCACATCATTGTAACAAACTGCTGGAAAGTGCCAAGGAAGGAATGAACCCAGATGCCAGGCATTGACCTAGGCACTGGAATTAACAATGGAAAACTCAGCCCTGTCTACCCTGCAAAGTCTACTTTACCAACAACTGGGAGCTTGTGACAGCATTGTCATCTCAGACTTCTCAAGTAACAGCCTGATGTAGTCATACTTATAGAATCATACTTTAACCAGACAACATCATCACCCTCCCTAAGCAGAAGTAAACCATTCGGCCCATTGAATTCTTCTGTCACTTGATTTGATCGTGCCTAATCTAATTATCAACTCCACTTTCCTTATTTTCCCGTAACCTTTCTTCCTTTAATGATTAAAAATCTGCCTTCACAACCCTATATGTGCTTAACAACCAAGACAAAACAGGCCTCTAAGATACAGAAGTCTACAGATTCATTACCTCTGAGAGAAAAAATAAAATCCTCCTCGTCTAGTCTAGCAGCTTTTGGAAATACAGTCAGGAGGGTGTTGCCCTAGGAGTCCTCAACATTGACTCTGGACCCCATTAAGTCTCTTAGCTTCAGGTTAAACGTGAGCAAGGAAACCTCCTGCTGATTATTGCGTATGTCTTCTCTCGGCTGTTGAATGAACATTCCTCATGAACAACACTTGGAGGAAGCTCTGAAAGTGTCAAGGTCACACAATGTACTCTGGGTGTGGGATTTCAATGTCCACCACCAAGGGTGACCCAGCAGCATCTGGTCGGGTCCTACAGGACATAGCTGCTAGACTGGGTCTGTGGCAGGTGGTGAGGGAACCAACAAGAGGGAAAAACATACTTGACCACATCCTTACTAATCTGTTGCCTGCAGATGCATCTGTCCATGACAGTATCGGTAAGAGTGACCATCGCACAGTCCTTGTGGAGACGATGTCTCACGTTCACATTGAGAATTCCCTCCAACGTGTTGTGTGGCACTATCACCGTGCTAAATGGGACAGACTTCGCACAGATCGAGCAACTCAAGGCTGGGCATCCATGAGGCGCTGTGGGCCATCAACAGCAGCAGGATTGTACTCCAGCACAATCTGTAACCTCATGGCCCGGCATATCCCCCACTCAACCATTACTATCAAACCAGGGGATCAACCCTGGTTCAATGGAGAGTGCAGGAGGGCATGCCAGGAGCAGCACCAGGCATCCCTGATGAGGTGGCACCAAACAGGGCTGTTTGCACACCGAACAGGGTAAGCAACAAATGGTAGACAGAGCTAAGTGATCCCACAACTAATGGATCAGATCTAAGCTTTGCATTGTGGCTATATCTAATCGTGAATGGTGGTGGACAATTAAACAACTCACTGGAGGAGGAGGATCCACAAATATCCCCATCCTCAATGATGGAAGAGTCCAGCACATCAGTGTGAAAGACAAGGCTGAAGCATTCATAGCAATCTTCAGCCAGAAGTGCTGGTTGTCTTCAGCCAATTTGATTCATTTCTTGTGAAAGCAAGAGACAGTTGGAGACATTGGATATTGCGAAGGCTACGGGCCCTGACCACATTCTGGCAATAGTACTGAAGACTTGTGCTCCAGAACTTGCCGCTCCCCTAGCCAAGCTGTTCCAGTCCAGTCACAACGCTGGCATCTCCCCGACAATGTGGAAAATTGTTCAGCTATGTCCCCTGTCCACAAAAAGCAGGACAAATCCAAGCTGGCCAATAACTGTTCCATCAGTCTACTCTCAATCATCAGGAAAGTTATGGAAAGTGTTATTAACAGTGTTTTCAAATAACACTTACAACAAAAATGTAAGAACTAGGAGCAGGTGTCAGCAATTCAGCCCCTCAAGCCTACTCCACCATTTAATATGATCGTGGCTAAGCTCATCTTGGTCCAACTCCACATTCTCGCCCACTGCCTGTAACCTTTCACCCCATTGCTAATTAAAAATCTGCATATCTCCTCCTTAAATTGACTCAATATCCCAGCATCCACCTCACACTGGGGCAGTGAATTTCACAGATTCACAATCCTTTGAGAGAAGTAATTTCTCCCTGTCTCTGTTTTAAATCTGCCACCCCTAATCCTAAAACTGTGACCTCTTATTCTAGATTGCTCCACATGAGGAAACATCCTGTCTACAGCTGCTTAGTTAATCCCCTTGATCTCCTCTCATTCTTCTAAACTCCAGAGAAGATAGGCCTAACCTGCTCAATCGCTCCTCATAAGACAAACCCCTCATCTGTGAAATCAATCTAATGAGCCTCCTTTGAACTGCCTCCAACGTAACATATAAACGTAGAAAATAGGAGCAGGAGGAGGCCATTCATCCCTTCGAGCCTGCTTCACCATTCTTCATGATCATGGCTGATCGTCAAACTCAGTAGCCTAATCCTGCTTTCTCCCCATAACCTTTGATCCCATTTGCCCCAAATGCTATACCTAGCCGCCTCTTGAATACATTCAATGTTTTGGCATCAACTACATCCTGTGGGAATGAATTTCACAGGCTCACCACTCTTTGGGTGAAGAAATGTCTCCTCATCTCCGTCCTAAATGGTCTACCCCAAATCCTCAGACTGTGACCCCTGGTTCTGGTCACACCCACCATTGGGAACATCCTCCCTGCACCTACCCTGTCCAGTCTTGTTAGAATTTTATAACTGTCTATGAGATCCCCCCTCATTCGTCTGAACTACAGCGAAAACAATCCCAACCTAGTCAATCTCTCCTCATACATCAGACCCGCCATCCCCGGAATCAGCCTGGTAAACCTTCGCTGCACTCCCTCGAGAGCAAGAGCATCCTTCCCCACATTTCTCCTCAAGTAAGGGGACCAAAATTGTAAACAATACACCAGGTGTGGACTCACTAATGCCTTGTACAGTTGCAGCAATGCCTCCCTACTTTTATACCATATTCCTTTAGCAACAAATGTCAAAATTCCATTTGCTTTCCTTATTACCTGCTGTACCTGCATACTAATTTTCTGCAATTTATGCTTGAGGTCTCCATATCCCTCTGCACTCTGACATTTCTATCCATTTGGATAATTTTCTTTCTATTCCTTTGACTAAAATGGATAATCTCATACTTATCCATTTTAAACTTCATCTGCCTAATTTTGGCCCATTCGCCAAATTTATCCATATCCACTTGTAAATAACTTATTTTACATTGCGACTTATCTACTCACCTCTTTTAGTGTCATCTGCAAATTCGGCCATAGTACATTTTAAAAAAGATAAAGTCGCCATAATCTTGCCAGACCACAGAGCTGCTGCCACATTAAGAGAGAGAGAGAGAGATCCAACAAGGTGTAGAGCTGGAGGAACACAGCAGGTCAGGCAGCATCAAAGGAGCAGGAAAGTTGACGTTTTGGGTCGGGACCCTTCATCAGAACTGATCGACTCGGACTCCAGCATCTGCAGTTCTTGCTATCTCCGAGAGACAGAGGTGTTTGGTGGTGGTTTAACCTGAGGGTCACCACACCTCAGGTGAGGGGAGAGATAAAGAAGAGTCCTTCATGGAAATCTCAGCCAACGGGTGAGTTGAACCCACACTGTTGCATTCTATCCCTGCATCCAAGTTATTAATACAGATTGTGAATAATTGAGGCCCGAGGAACCAAACCCTGTGTCACTCCACTAGTTATGTCTTCCCAACCAGAAAAAAGACCCATTTATCCTGACACTCTATTTTCTGTTGGTTAACTAATCCTGTATC